CAAGAAAAAAACAAACAACCCTATCAAAAAAGTGGGCAAAGGATATGAACAGACACTTCTCAAAAGAAGACATTTATGTAGCCAACAAAAAAAAATGAAAAATGCTCATTATCACTGGTCATTAGAGAAATGCAAATCAAAACCACACTGAGATACCATCTCACACCAGTTAGAATGGAAATCATTAAAAAATCTGGAGACAACAGATGCTGGAGAGGATGTGGAGAAATAGGAACACTTTTACACTGTTGGTGGGAGTGTATATTAGTTCAACCATTGTGGAAGACAGTGTGGCAATTCCTCAAGGACCTAGAAATAGAAATAACATTTGACCTAGCAATACCACTACTGGGTATATACCCAAAGGATTATAAATCATTCTATTATAAAGACACAGGCACACACATGTTCACTGTGGCACTGTTTACAACATCAAGGACTTGAAACCAACCCAAATGCCCATCAGTGATAGACAGAATAAAGAAAATGTGGCACCATGGAATACTGTGAAGCCATGAAAAAGGGTGAGTTCATGTCTTTTGCAGGGACATGTATGTAGCTGGAAACAATCATTCTCAGCAAACTGACACAAGGAAAGAAAACCAAACACTGCATGCGCTCACTGATAAGTGGGTGTTGAACAATGAGGACACACGGACACAGGGAGGGGAACATCACACACCGGGGCCTGTTGGCGGGTGGGGGAGCTAGGGGAGGGATAGTAGCAGGTGGCGGAATTGGGGAGGGATAACATTAGGAGAAATACCTAATGTAGATAACGGCAGAGGGATGGATGCAGCAAACCACCATGGCAGGTGTATACCTATGTAACAATCCTGCATGATCTGCGCACGTATCCCAGAACTTAAAGTGTAATAAAAAAAAGATAGTTGATATCATTAGCCATTAGGGAAATGCAAATTAAAACTACAATGAGATACTGACATATACCTAGTAAGAGTAATAAAACAAAAAAGTGACATCAAATTCTGGTGAGGCTGCAAATAATCACTCATATTTTGCTAGTGGGAATAAAAAAACGATACAGCCACTCTGGAAAAGTTTGGCAGATTCTGAAAAATTAAGCATGCAACCACCATATGGCTTAGCAATTGCACTTCTGGGCATTTATCTCTAAGAAATAGAGACTCGGGAGGCCGAGGCGGGTGGATCACGAGGTCAAGAGATCGAGACCATCCTGGTCAACATGGTGAAACCCCGTCTCTACTTAAGAAAATACAAAAAATTAGCTGGGCACGGTGGCGCTTGCCTGTAATCCCAGCTACTCAGGAGGCTGAGGCAGGAGAATTGCCTGAACCCAGGGGGCGGAGGTTGCGGTGAGCCGAGATCGCGCCATTGCACTCCAGCCTGGGTAACAAGAGCGAAACTCCGTCTCAGAAAAAAAAAAAAAGAAATAAATAAATAAAGACTCATGTTCACACGAAAACCTAGACACAATTTTATCACAACTTTATTCATAATTAGCCCAGATGTCCTTCAACTGGCAACGGTTAAACACTGTGGACATTATGGAATACTGCTCAGCAGTAAAAAGACACAAACTACTGATACAGGCAGTGAACTGGATACATCTCCAGAGAATTATGCTGAACAACAACAACAACAACAAAATGCCAATCCCAAAAGATTACATGCTATAGTTCTCCTTTATATTGCAATCTTGAAAGAACGAGGTTATAAAATGGAGAACTAAGGAAGTATGGGAGGGGTGGAAGCAGGGAGAAAGTTGGGTACCTGTTAAAGAGCACCATGAGGGATTCTTATGGTGATGGAAGTGCTCTGTATCTTGACTGTAACAATGCCAATATCTTGGTAGTCATTTATTGTTGAGTTTTGCAAGATTTTACCTTTTGGAGAAACGGAGCAAAGGGCACAGAGAATCTCAGCTTTAACAGGCTGATTGCTATACTTTGGATATTCGTCTCCCAAACCTCATATTGAAATTTGATCCCTAATGTTAGAGACGGGGCCTATGGGGAATGTTTGGTTTCTGAGGTTGAAGGTGGATCCCTCGTGAATACATTGATGTCCTCTCTGTGGGATGGTGACTTCTCACTCTAAGGTCTTTTGTGATATGCTATGGCTGTGCCCCCACTCAAATCTCATCTTGAATTGTAGTTCCCAGAATCCCCACATGTTGTGGGAGGGACCCAGCGGGAGGTAATTTAATCAGTCAGTTACCCTCATGCTGTTCTTGTTATACTGAGTTCTCGTGAGGTCTGATGGTTTTATATGGAGCTTTTCCCCCTTTTGCACAGCACTTCTCCTTGCTGCCACCATGTGATAAAAAACATGCTTGCTACCCCTTCTGCCATGATTGTAAGTTTCCTGAAGCCTCCAGCCATGTAGAACTGTGAGTCAATTAAACTGCTTTTTTATTTTATTTTTTTTTTTATCAATTATCCAGTCTCCAGCATGTCTTTATTAGTGGTGTAAGACTGGACTAATACACCTTGGGAGCTGGTATTTAAAAAGAGCCTCCCTCTCCACTCTTTTTTGCCTCCTCTTTCACCATGTGATGTCTGCACAAGTTGCTCCCCTTCCCCTTCCACAATGAATGGAAACAGTTTGAGGCCCTCACCAGATGCAGATTTGGGCACTGTGCTTCTTACACAGCCTGAAGAACATGTGTCAAATAAATCTTTCTTTATAAGTTATCCAGCCTCAACTGTTCCTTTATAGCAATGCAAATAGACAGAAACAGTGATAGAGGGAGAGAAAGTTTTTTTACTGTTGTTGTCTTCAAAATTACTAACAAGGAATACAATGGGGTGTTAAGATTTGACACATACACATTATTTCATAAAGACAAATTTAAAAATCATATCCCAATGTTATTATTTGAGCATCAGCTGTAGTTAGGTAGTAAAGTATAGCATCAGGTTTTTGGTAACTGGTTGCATTATTCATCAACAACACTAAGTCACCAACCTTAAAACATTTCAACAATGAATTTAATAAATGAACAATGGAATGGTATCAAGACCATTCATAAAGTTAAAAGGAGGCCCGGCATAGTGGCTCACCCCTGTAATCTCTATACTTTGAGAGGCTGAGGCAGGCTGATCACTAGAGGTCAGGAGTTTGAGACTAGCCTGGCCAACATGGTGAAACCCCGTCTCTAGTAAAAATACAAAAATTAGCCAGGTATGTTGGCACGAATCTGTAATTCCAGCTACTTGGGAAGCTAAGGCATGAGAATTACTTGAACCTGGGAGGCAGAGGTTACAGTGAGATTGCGCCACTGCACTCCAGCCTGAGCAACAGAGACTCCTTCAAAAGGAAGTAAGAAAGGAAGGGAGGGAGTGAGGGAGAGAAGAAAGGGAGAGAGAGAGAGAGAAAGAAAGAAGGAAGAAAGAAAAGAAAGGAAGGAAGGGAGGGAGGGAAGGAGAAAGGGAGGGAGGAAAAAAGAAAAAGGAAGGAAGGAAGGAAGGAAGGAAAGAACTAAATGGAATGTCTTAAATATTTTTAAATTTTACATTAACAACAAATAAGAGTCTGAATGGCTTATCCTGCATAGGAAAATCAGATAGATCTTTGAAGAAAAAAGTTTTAAAATATTTTGTACAATATTTGAAATGATTATGGAATGCTTTGTTTCAATCAATAAAAAAGGAAATGTGAAACTGGCTTATCTTTTAGATACATTTAAAATGTCAAAGTCCTTAAACTTCAAGAAGATAAAATCAATGTCCTTAAAATGAACCAATTATGATTCCTTCATCAAAAAATTTATATTGTGTTAACCTCATTTACCAAGACATTTCAAATTTCCATCTTTGCATCAGTTAAGTAAGGATAGGCTTAAAGACAGATTTAGAAATATGCTGATTTTATTCAAATACAGTATTTAAATTTACGATTAGATTTAAAGATATGCATGATCAATCAGTTTGTGATTATTTAGAATAACGTCAATATTTACAGGACAATGCAGGCAGGTAAGACACCTGTTCTACCATTGCATGATTTAACTGGTGTAATTAGGAAGGGTTTTACTTCTAATTCAAACTTCATACCCAGTTGTTTTGTTTTGTTTTGTTTTGTTTTTTGAGATGGAGTCTTACTCTGATGCCCAGGCTAGAGTACAGTGGCATGATCCCAGCCCACTGCAACCTTCGCCTCCAGGGTTCAAGCGATTCTCGTGTCTCAGCCTCCAGAGCAGCTGGGATTACAGGCACCCGACACCACACTAGGCTAATTTTCGTATTTTTGTAGAGATGGGGTTTCATTATGTTGGCCAGGCTGGTCTCGAACTCCTGACCTCTAGTAATCTGTTTGCCTTAGCCTCCCGAAGTGCTAGGAACATACACTTCTAATAACAGCATTTCCAACTACATATTTGGTTGAATCAGTTGAAACTGCTATTGCAGTTACCACAAAAGTAACAAGAGGTAAACTTCTAATATGTAATAGGAGATTTGACTTTTCCTCTAGAATTAGAACCAGTATTATTAAATTTGTATAGATATTTGCATTAGCAGAAATCCCATTTTGTTTATGTCGTTTTTAAATAAAGTGACTCATTTAAAATTTAGTTGCATTTAAAAAATTTGTGTTATGGGAGTGGGAACACTGACTCCAGGCAGGGAGATGAGACAATTGTGAGAGAGGCCGGGATGAAGCTGAGTGGTCCTCCCGGTCCCCGAAGGCCCAGCGGTGGCTCGATGGGTCGGAGAGCGCTCCCTGGAGGGTTTGTTGCTTCCTGGCTCTCTGGCCCGCGGTAACACCACGCGGTCAGCCTCCGGTCCCGCCAGGGCAGACCAATCCTTTCCTCGTTTCTCCAGTATTAAGTCACCCTGTGTGCTAGGTACCGTTGCCAGGCAGCAGTTAAGACAACGCGCTGAGGCAAAATAGGGAACTAAGGAAGAATGGGGGACCCCAAAGCCAACTTGGTGGCATCACACGCAGGAGTGGCGCAGAGGAGTAGGACTCCGGGGCGGGGCCGCCAGGGCCTGGGCGGGGCAGGGGCGGGGCCTGTCACTGGGGAAACCGCCGTCCTAGCAGCTGCGCGCGCAGTTTGAACCAATGCCCCTTGCGCGACAACGGCCTCAGAACGCCAGTTGTGGCCGACGTGTCTCGGAGACGCAGAGACGCCAAGGCCCCTGCGACCAGGTGGCTGCAGCTAGGCCGGAGGCGTCAGGACGACGGAGCGACTTCCGGTCGTTGGCGCGCAGGCCTGAGGGAGCTGGGCCCCCCTTTTCCGCCCGCGCCCCAGGCCCTTGCAGACCGGGATTCGCGTCCTGGAGTGAGAAGGAAGCAGTGCCCAGGCCGCCGGTAAGTAAAGGCCGGTTCTCACCTGCCGCCTGGGCCGGTCCGCCTAGAGAGCTGGCAGAGTGAGGGTCACGGGCCGGAAACCATGCCACAGCCCAAGCAGACTCTGACCGTAGTAGCTTTTTCTTTATTTGTATTTTTGAGACAGGGTCTCCCTCTGTCACCCAGGCTGGAGTGCAGTGGCGCGATCTCGGCTCACTGCAACCTGCGCCTCCCCGGTTCAAGCGATTCTCCCGCCTCAGCCTCCGGAGTAGCTGGGATTACAGGTGTGCGCCACCACACCCAGCTAATTGTTGTATTTCTGGTAAAGACGGTTTTCCCCATGTTGGTCAGACTGGTCTCGAACTCCTGACCTCAGATGATCTGCCCGCCTCGGCCTCCCAGAGTGCTGGGATTACAGGCATGAGCCAATGCCCCCGGCCTACGGTAGTGGCCTCTGAGGGCCACTCAGGCACCGCCTGTTTCTGGCGTGGAGAAGGGGGAAATTGACAAAGAAGCCTTAAAGGGATCCATGTTCAGGCCTGCCACCTTTGCAGACGTCAGTGTTGTCCCAACTAGTGTCCCTAGAATTACCCAGGATGTGAGCGGCATTGATTGATTCATCAGTGGTTTTCAGCAAAACAGGTGTCTTACCTACCTGCCTCGTCTGCTCATTGCCACTTTCCAAGGCGTTCTCACAGGCGCAAACACTTTCTCTTCCTCCATTAATTCCAATAGGCCAGATTTTGGGGTCTCCTTTAAGGTCCTGTGACCGGGTTGCAGTACGCGGGGGAGGTTCAGCTCCGAGATGGGCTTTGCCCGACGTGCTCAGGTGCTTGGGCTCTCTTCCACCCAAGAATGGATACGAGGCCCTGGCGCCGTGATATTGTTCAAGTAAATATCGGACCCCAAGAGCTTTTGCAGAAAAGCGATTTATTAGGCAGAGAGAGAAAGCCAGCTCCCACGCTGTCATGTGAGGGGATCCCAGAGAGGGAAATCCGCACAGGTGAGGGGCAGGGGGTATTTTTAATCTGAGAGTTATTCCCGCCGCATCCAAGATCTTGTCCCATGAGAGGAGTTCCTTCAAACTTCGCTGGAGTGATTGATCTCCGACTTGACATCGGATTGGCTGTGTTCCGCCCACGGTCCTACCATAGCTTTTCGCTGCCTTTTCTAAATAAAGGAAGCTCACCTGGGGAGTTCATCTTCTCTCGAACGGTAAAGCTAAAGACCTCTAAGCTCCCGGTTGGACACATCTCTGGGAAGTTCTAGCCTTTGAAACCACGCCCCTTGTGGACTCAGGAAGAGAAGTGAATGCATTCCCTCAGTCCCAGTTTCTCAAAAATAGCCCAAGGAATCTCTCCATTTCCTTGCCTTTTACATGTCTGGATTCCTCCAGAGACTTAAACCCTGACCAGAACCCCGGAGTAGATGGGATTACAGGTGCCCAGCACCACGTTCGGCCAATTTTTGTATTTTTAGTAGAGACGAGGTTTCACCATGTTGGCCATGGTTGGCCAGGCTTGAACTTCTGACCTCAGGTGATCTGCCTCTCTTGGCAGTGCTGGGATTGCAGGCATGAGTGATCACAACCAGCCGATTTTTCTTTTTCTTTTTTTTGGAGACAGAGTCTTACTCTATTGTCTAGGCTGGAGTGCAGCGGTGTAATCTCAACTCACTGCAACCTCTGCCTCCCAGGTCAAGTGATCCTCCTGCCTCAGCCTCTCAAGTAGCTGGGATATAGGCACATGCCACCACACCCAGCTAATTGACTTGTATTTTTAGTAGAGACAGAGTTTTGCTGTGTTGGCCAGGCTGGTCTCAAACTCCTGACCTCAGGTGATCCACTTGCCTTGGCCTCCCAAAGTACTGGGATTACAGGTGTGAGCCACCACACCTGGCCCTCTCATTTTTGAGAAAGAGGGTCATTCTGTTGCCCAGCTGGAGAGCATTGACTCAATCATGACTCACTGCAACCTCAACCTTCTGGGCTCAAGCCATCCTCTTGCCTCAGCCTCTCAATCACAGGCATGCCTCACCATGCCTATCTAATTTTTAATTTTTTTGTAGAGATGAGGGTTCACTATGAGAAACATACTCAGGCTTGTCTCAAACTGCTGAGCTGAAGCAATTCTTCTGCCTCCCAAAGTGTTAGGATTACAGATGTAAGCCACTGCACCCAGCCTAATGTCTCATTTTTAATTTAAAATATTTTATCAATCTTTATATTAATTACATGCTTAAATGAGATTTTAAATACATGAGATTAAATAAGATATATTTAAATTAATTTCACCTGTCCCTATTTACTTTTAACATGACTCCTAGAAAATTTTAAATTATAACTATATATGGGGCTCACGTTATATTTCTTTTGGAAAACACTTATAAATTATTGAGGGCTGGGTGTGGTGGCTCACACCTGTAATCCCAGCACTCTGGGAGGCCAAGGCAGGCAGATCACCTGAGGTCAGGAATTCAAGACCAGCCTGGCCAACATGGTGAAACCCCACTTCTACTAAATACAAAAATTAGCTGGACATGATGGCAGGCACCTGTAATCATGTGCCTCAGGAGGCTACTCAGGAGGCTGAGGCAGAAGAATCACTTGAATTTGGGAGGTGGAGGTTGCAGTGAACCAAGATCATGCCACTGCACTCCAGCCTGGGTGACAGCAAGACTCTGTCTCAAAAAAAATGTTTTAAGATATTGGAAACTTCTTATAATGTTCAGAAAAATTGCCTTCCCCACTCCCTCCAAACCTCACATTGACCCTTATTATCTCCTAGAAAATACCACTACTTACTCCTATCCTATGTGACCCATATCAAAAAACCTTACTAACCCAGCTCAACTCAAAGGCCTTGGCAGTTAAGGAACCATAGGCTAACTACAGATGGTCTAAGACTGCAGAATTATAGTCACTTTTAAGAGAAAGGCTCAAACTTCCCTCAGCTTTTGCATTAGAACCAATTCAGTTTCTGGCAGACCTAGCTCCACTGTTTCGGCTGTTTGATTGTCCAGTTGTGCATAAGTGAACTGTAAAGAAATCAAAGAGAAGGGAAGAGAGAAGTCATCAAGGAGGGTGGTCACCTCCCCAGCTTTCACTCCAAATTATATTGTTACAGACCCTGGTATTACAGCATCCTTGGCCTGACTTCTTTTTAACAGTCACACCACTTTAAAAAGTAATTAGCTGGGCTAGGTGCGGTGGCTCATGCCTGTAACCCAGCCCTTTGGGAGGCCAAGGCGGGTGGATCACAAGGTCAAGAGATCGAAATCATCCTGGTCAACATGGTGAAACCCCGTCTCTACTAAAAATACAAAAAATTAGCTGGGCATGGTGGCGCACGGCTGTAGTCCCAGCTACTCGGGAGGCCGAGGCAGGAGAATTGCCTGAACCCAGGAGGTGGAGGTTGCCGTGAGCCAAGATCGTGCCATTGCACTCCAGCCTGGGTAACAAGAGTGAAACTCCCTCTCAAAAAAAAAAAAAAAAAAGGAATTAGCTTTAGTGAAGACATTGCCTGATGCTCTAGTCTGAAGTATTTACAGATTTATATCTGTAAATGTAAGCTCTCACTTGAGCAGTCTCCTTTAGTTATGAAATATAAAATGGGTGGACTCCAATATCTCAATCTTTAGTGTTTTGAATGGGTCTCAAAAGCAGTGTGATGAGAGATGTTAGCTGTGACTCAGTGTGTACTGGATGAGGTCCTAATCCAGGCCTCCCAGAGCCTCTAGTTCATGGGAAGAGTTCTTGCTCTGTTAGTTCACATGAGTGATCATTGTTCAAAAGAGGCTGGCATCTCTCTCTTGCTTCCTCTCTCGCCATGTGTCATGCCTGCTTCTCCTTCACCTTCTACCAAGAGTTACAGCATCAGAAGCCTAGGAGATGCTGATGCCATGTTTGTACAGCTTGCAAAACCATAAGCCAGATAAAACTCTATAAATTGCCCAGCCTCAGGTATTCCTTTACAGCAGTGCAAAATGGATTGACACACTTGGTTTATGTCTTCCTCTGGAAAGATACGGCTCTGTTTGTGAGCTACCTCATCCAGGAGTGTGCTTTGCCTACTCACTGCTGACCCATCTGTATTAGTCCATTTTCATGCTGCTAATGAGGATATACCCAAGACTGGGCAATTTATAAAAGAAAGAGGTTTATTGGGCTTATAATTCCACATGGCTGGGGAGGCCTCACAATCATGGTGGAAGGCAAGCAGGAGCAACTCACATCTTATGTGGATGACAGCAGGCAAAGAGAGAGCTTGTGCAGGGAGACTCCTGATTTTAAAGCCATCAAAACTCATAAGACTTATTCACTATCACAGGAACAATGGGAAAGACCTGCACCCATGATTCAATTACCTCCCACCAGGTTCTTCCCATGACACATGGGAAGTGTGGGAGTTACAATTCAAGATGAGATTTGGGTGGGGACACAGCCAAACCATATCACTGTCCCATCATGAGGCTCAGTTTCAGCTGTGCTTCTGAACTGCTTTGCCTCAGGAGCCACAGTATTTGACAAAGCCTTAGAAGCTGGATCTCCACTCTGTGGACACCTGCAGGTGACTAAAATGAGATTACTCCATCAGGGTGGAAGGATCTACCATCATATAGCCATATAATTTCTTTAAAAATTAATAAAGCTTTCAGCGAAAAAGGCTTGGCAAGTTGAGTTGGGAAAGAATGTCTACCACTGGCTCAAATTACTGCCTTTCTGAGACTTCCCTTTCACCCAACACACAAAGGTCCATCTTATATGCAACAGCACCTTTCAGCCATGATCAAGTCAGCACTATGAGATAGGATCGAGGTGTGTGCACCACAGAATGCAAAATATTTGGGAATCCCTGGATGCATAACAGAGGCGGGAACTGTAAGTTGAAACTCCAGCATTCTTCTTGGCACTGAATAAGGCTTAGGTCTTGTCCCGATCTCTGGCTTTTGGTAGTGAAGCTATTTGGGCCTGTAGTTTTGTTACAAGATATTAAACTACAAATTCAACATCTTTCATAGAC